TGATTCATAGAAGTAGTTGAGAACGACTCATATCAACCAGTATTACTTGCTAGCTGAATGAAATTGATCCCAACACTGGAGGCCGTTTCGCTCTTTTGAGGTCGAGTTCATTCATTCAACTCAGAGAGCTCAGTCAGTTCAAGCCAGCCAAAATGTGACAAGCTAGTTACTTCAGGCAGACCTACAATACATAGAATCAAATTTACGGTTAATAGACTACACCTTTCTAGGTTAGAATTTATCAGGGCTTCCTACGGGAAGCTGAAGTATTCAGATCACAATATGTGATCTGCCTGGTACCATAAATGGTGATCAGAAAATAAGCAAGTTTGTGTATTGGGCGAGGGGTACCCCGTTTTGACATGGCTAATTGAAAATCACTCACACAAATACACACCAGTAGGGTTTACTTGGTTATAGTATATCTGAAGCGCTACAAGAATGCTGTCCAACCTCGAAAAAAGTGATACCTGTCCATTTCAGTAATTATAAAGTAAGAATAAATGATGAATTTCTTGTTTACCATATTTATGTCTATTTTGACCATATATTTTATGATCATTCAGCTGACTATTTATTTTTGATAACTTGAAATTAATATCTCAATACAGATTTCTAGGGCAATTTTACTAAGCTAGCTAATTTCAGCACGCACTGAGTTCTCGGTCACAAGGTGGCTATCTTCTCAGTTTTTCGGGTAGATGGAAACATACTGTTTCAAAATGGAAAGCGCCCCACTTCGAGGCTAACGGAAATTGATTTGACTCAAGGCGCTGTGCTGTGCTGTGCTGCTTTCATTCCTTTTCGCTTTCTTTTTACTTGACCTTCCGTATTCTTTCAAAGCTAATTTCATTAAATATGCCGATGACCTGACCATTTATGCCTTGATAGTTTCTACATTGAATTGTTCTTATATGATTAGATTCTTACCTGAAGTTAAAAAAACGGTCTTACCTAAATGGTATTTAACCAAATCCATCTGAATTTCTTATTGCTGATTTTAGTTAAAGATGGGAACAAGACTTGTCTGGACTGCATTAAGTCCCATGCTTTCTGTAATATTGACGGCATTGTTCTCCGGAGTAAACTAAATGCCTGCTACCAAAGGCAGCAGTTTCTTTTCGAATCTCTGTTGGTCGTCTCATACTCTGTTGATTTCTAAGAAACTTTTTCGCCTGATGTATTACATACAGAAGTTGATACTTGCTGGCATAACTCAACTTCTTCTCTTACAATCTATTAATTCACATATTCTGCCCATATTTTTTGATTCTCTCTTGGACTTCTTAAAAATGACTGAGCCATATTGTGTAGAACATTGGAGGCTGTAATTTGGGTTAGTAACATGTGTGCGTGCCGGTGGCACAGTGGTAGAATGCTCGCCAACTACGCCTCATGTTGTGCTGGGTTTGACTCCTGGCCATCGAAGCACTTCTTTACCTCACTAACCCAGTAATAAGACTAATAAAGACGTAAGGTTGGAAATGGGGCTAGCAACCTCATCCCGTAAAGATAAACACCACTGCCACCGAAACTTCAAGCTTGTACCTTGAAGGCCTATGTTCCACTTAAAACGTAAAGGAATAAAAACTAGTGTGTCTGCTTGACTCATAATAACTGACGTTATTATTGTTGTTGATAGGCATTTTAATTCTTTTCAAAAGTTGATTTGTATGGATTAGATTTGTTTTTACGATTCTAACAATTTTACTTCTTGCAAGCAGTTATCGGGCTAAAGTTGTCTAATCCGATAGCGAACATCCCCATTATTCGCAACTTCTTCCTTGTATCTCTCTTTGGGTAGAATTAGGACAAATTTCATAAGAATTTAGCGGTCGTACAACAAAATAAAAGCAATTCTACCATACCATATTTATCAAGGGTTTTGTGTGAAGGGGGAGGCAAATGTCAGAAAAGAGCTTATAAACTTGTTAAATCAGTAACTGAAGTACAAAGTGAGTACAAGTAAAGATTATTACTATTACTATCTATTATATTATTTGTTTATAATTCATTATTGTTCCACTAAGCTTCAGTTTTTGTAGTTTAATTATTTTTTTTTTAAATAATAATAATTTGCTTTATTCCAAAACAGTACTTGTGATACAGAATGGAATTCTCAGCATTTTACTACATAGGGTATTGCATCCAGTTAGTGCATTAGCAATAAATAAAATTCTACATAGATTAACCGTAATCTCACTTCATTATGACAACAACATATTGGCATGTAGGTGGTGAAGCCAAAATTGAACAGATTGTTTGAAGGTGTCAGAAAAGTAGATGCTAGCATATTTACTGGCTTAAGTGGTAACCAAAAGGTCGACATATACAGAGCGTGAGAGAACGAAGAAGAATGTTTTAAGTAGAGTTGGTAAGGAAGAGAGAAACAAAGCGGCACATAACAGGGAAAAGAAGGAAAGAAAACGTTGTACCTATAAATGATATGAGTTGGAAAGTCGAGATCTAGTTGTTCTACTGACTATTTAATAAGTAATAGGTATCACGCCTAATGCTTTCTTTATCGCATAGAACACAAGCTAAGTAGGGTATGGTTGAGATTTTGTACTTGCTAGTCCGAGCATATAGTTTTCTATATAGGCTTCTGCTCCTGCCTGATGAGATACAAGAGGAGAGCTGTGAATGAAGAGGGTGGTGCGAGTTAGATAAAATGGATTTTGCCCATTTTTCACATAAGCCCATGTGCCTGTCAACCAGAATATAAACAAGCTGGTTAAGTGGCACCCTGTGGCTTACCCTGCTGACAACCTTTAACATCCTGCGTAATAAGGTATAGTCTTTCTTCAGTAGCCAGCCCAGGAAAAACTAAGGGGTAAACAATAGAAAATAATAGGCAGGATGCAGGAGCTAACGAATTGTAGGAGGAAGGGTTGGGTTATACTAGAATATCTTAAATTCTTAATGTTGAAGGTAGGACGGAATATTTTCTTAGAAATTGTCAAGATACAAGACGACCAGGAAAGATCAGCAGATAGAATGACGCCAAGATATTTAATTTCTATTTTATGTATTTATAAAAAGAGTACAAATTTTTCTGATATGCATAAAAATGCCGAAAATTCCATTCTGTATAAATATTATTGTTTGGGATAAAGTGATTATTATTATCAATATTTAGACAAGTATTAAAATCCAGGTGGCACTGGATATCTGTTTCGTCCTTGCTGTGGACTTCTTTAACTGCGCATGTAGAAGCCCACGAGAGGTCGAACCCAGTACCATCGGATAAAAAGACTACTTCTTTGATAATTCACTCACCGGGTTGGTTCTTAATACCTTGTGAATTTTATTTTATTCCTTCACGTTCCTAGCAGAATATAGGGCCTCAAGCTAGAAGCTTGAAAATTCAGTAGTAGTGGTGTTTATTTTTACGGGATGGGTTTGCTAGCCTCATGCCCAGCCACACCTTCCCTCTTTATCAGCTTTATTTCTGGCGACGTAAAGGAGTGCGTCTATTGGCCTGAGATCGAACCCCGGACCATGTGCATGGTCGGCAAGCGTCCTAACCACCGTGCCACCGACGCACTTTGTGAATTTTAACGTTTATCAATTACCGACGTAGCACTACCCACGACCAGTGATATAAATGGTTGTCCACTTTCCTGTTACATGACGGCTACCATCAGAGTTATGACTTCCTTTTACAACTTTATTTTACAGAAACTAATGTGAAAGATTTCATATAAACTGTCATCAAGATCTGACAGAATGCTTCTAAAACATTCGGGCGCCGAGTGAGAAGTAGATATTTGTAAAAAATTATATTTGTGTATTCTCAGCGAGATTGAAATGAGTAATTCCAACGTTTCCTGCCTTCGGCAATCTGGTCCGAACTTCTTCAGGGAAATTAATCGAAATTAACAAAGAAACTATGTAATTGGCAGTCACCTGACAACTCCAGTAGGTCAAATAAAGCAGCTCAATTTCTAAACAGAAGACAAAGCAATAAAAGTCGACAGGGTGCTTCAGCTAAATCGTAATCCTAAACACCATAATTTTTTGAAAATGCGTCTAATCATAAAATTCTAGATACTAACAGTTTGAACAGACATGAAGGTGTGATGTTAGCTGATGCATAGGAAATCCTGATTAATAAATAAGAATGGATATGTATCACTAATTAATAATACCTGGTCAAAGTTCCCGACTGTCTATATCTTTTTATGGAGACGTTGACAAATGTTTTACAACTGTTTACCCATACACAAATATACACACACCACTGTATACCGCACAAATGCACAAATATTTTCATATTCAGTTATCTAGGACCATGAACTTTTAGTCGAATATAATCACTAAAATTCTGATGAAAAGTACACTCTAATTGAATTTTAGCTTTTCCAGTCTATCGATTGGACCGAAGTGCTCAGTCTCACGTTGACATGTCAGTCGGCTTCTTGTGCAGATGATTTGACGATGTCTGGGCATTTAATTAGTATTTAAGTGGTGGATGGATTCCACTGTTAGTTGCCATCCACCAATTAAATACTAAAAGTACAGTCTGTTTAAAGTGTTTAACAAAGGTAGACCAATATTTGTAAGTTTGAGGTCAAATTTTGATCACAGCTCATACAATGTTGATACCTATTTCGTTACTCATGATTGGACAAAGTTTTTAAAAATAAGAGATGTTCCTTTTATATATAAACCTCTGTTATGTTAATTTTGATTAATTTCTCTGAAGAAGTTCGGACCAGATTGACGAATGAAACGTTGGAATTACTCATTTCATTCTCGCTGAGATTTTGCAAATATAATTTTTCACTAATGTAAAAGAGACTGGTGGTCAGATTTTGGATTTTGTAGGGATTTTTGAATAATTTCAACGAATATTTCGTCTTGAACCGATATCAGCATGCGGTAAGTGACGTTTTACAATGAATGATTCTCTAAATGATATCGATTTTTTGTCAAAACCTTAAGTTACTCTGATGAAAACAAACAAACAAACAAGCAAAATAATAAAGATAACTCACCTGAAAATCAATCAATGAATTCTGTATGATGTAAATAGCTATTGACTTTAAATTATTTGAACCAATTTTATAATCGTGTGAAACACCATCCAGTGCTCGTACCACATGTACAATATATTTACGTGATATCCAATTTGATATTATTTTAAAATTTATCAGCAGTATACCAGTTAGCTGAATAAATAAATGTATACTAATAAAATTTGTAGATAATTCTAAAGCTATTCTTCTCAAATGAATTATTTGTTTTTCACTGTAGACAATTTTTGATGTATCACATATACCTTTTTCAATAGTATCAATATGACGAAATGGATTTATAGCATTCATCGTATTCTTTAAATCGTTACATGATTTTGGCGGGTAATTCGAATTTTTATCATGATCATAGCTTGCAGCATTATCATTATTATTGTTGTTTAAAGTCCAATGTGATAAATAGACTAACCAAAATGAAAAAGTGACAATCACAGTTAATGAATCTATAAAAAATCGGAAAGATAAACTTTGTTTACTTTCAGTGTTTGGTGAATAAAATTGAATTGTTGAAGAAATTGACTTTGATAAGCCTGCCTGTTTATATCTTCTGTTTCCAGTTAGTCTTGAATATGACATGTAATTATTTTTACTATTATTATTATATTTATTATTATTATTTAAACAAAATAACATTCTTTTAAAGTGTGATAAATATATACGACTTAGGCATAAAGTGAATATGAGAAGTTTTATGCATATTTCTATGATTTTCACTTCATAATATACTTCATTGCTTCGATTATTCATCACCGCCGGATGAGTATGTGGAAAGTTTCGACTAGCAATTTGATTACGCTTGTGTACAATTTTGTTATCTGCTGTCGCTGTTGCTGCTGCTGATGATGATGAGGATGATAACGATGATGTTGATGTGGGGGATATATTCGATGAAAGCGATAAAAGCCAATTGGATGAATAAATATTTGGTAGAAGAAGCATTACAAGTGGACTGAAAAATGTTATACTCATGGTTAATATTTCTAAATAGATTAATATTTTATGTATACAATATAAACAGTATTGTTCTCTGCGTTTCCTACACCAATCTAAATGCATTTCTTCACTGTCAGACCAATCTGATGATGTGGAATACTTTGAATTTCTTTTCTCCCCTCCTAAACATTTATGATATTCTGAATAAGATCTGTCGGAATTGATCATTGAATGTGTGTATATTCAAATGATTAAATGTTTGAAATCAATTATGTCTGGAGTCTGATGATTCTAAAATGTATAAACAGAATAATGATTTAAGTTATGATACGTCTAACTGAAAGAGTGAATCGAATCAAGAGGGACAAAAGAATATGATTTTGGGGGGGGGAGGGGAATTTAATGTCTTTGAGTTCCCAGTAGAACGTGGAGTTTCAAACCTTTTAGCGTTGAAGTTTCAGTTACATTGATGTTTATTTCTTACAAGGTGGGGTTTCTAATCTCGCGCCAAATTTTCTTCTCTACTAGATTTACTACCTGCTAATTGAGGTTTAGGAGTACATCATCTGGAGGTCGAATCTCAGACCACGTAAAACATGGTTGACGTGAATTCCACTGCTGCATCACCGACGAACAAAGGTAAGGTAATAACTTTATATGACCAGTGAGGTGTTCATCACTTCACATACATCTCTGGTGACATCAAAACTAGAAAACTGCATCTAGGCAGCCAGCACTTGTCTTAAGAGAAGACTCATATATTCTAGGAAGAGATCATAGTAAGGCCACACCTATGATTCCTGGTACAACTCATTTGTCATATGAGGGGGGACTTAACATTTTGAATCTTTTCTCATTATTATATTGTACAACGTTCAAAATCATAAAAAATGAATACGAATCTGATCTGCCTTCTCTTCTCTTCTCTTTTCCACTAGGTCGGAACATCTCAGAGCGCATAGTGGGAAAATTCAAAAGCCAAGGCAGAACTATAATATTGTGGAGTACTAGTCCTGATAATCACAGGTTTATATCACCTTAAGGATTGTTAATCTTTCTTAGGCTTGTGATGCCTTAGCCAGTACTGCTTGCTGATGAAGGTGTAGAAGGCTGTGAGTGAAATACATCCTAGGCTCCTCAGCTAGTTGAGCTTCATTACTTCAGCAACTAACTTTCCCCTACTCACTTAATACTCGACAGCTAAATTCAATCTTACTTATATTATTATTAGCTAACACGAACAATCTAACTAAGATACCCATGGTTATCGGTGAAGTCAATATTTAAACATCACATACTGTGGAAATTCACTAAATTAATTTTCATTACAGGATACTTTCCGTAAATTAACATTGTCTACTATTTTACATTGAACAATAAGTTATATATCTTTCACTTGTCGTTTAAAAATGTTTAAATATTTCCGCAGCAATCTGCATATTATTCAATCTGTTCAGGATGAGGTAGGTTTCTTAGCTGTTAGCAGTGTAACAACAGAAGGCAAGACACAGAAGCTAAGGTATGTTTTTCATTAATCAAACCACTGTTTATATATCTACACTTTATATTCGTTAACCAATCACTGAATGTGTGATTTTGGTTTTTATCAAATGATATAAAAAGAAAGAATGTCCAAATATACATAGTATTTCGTTGCTAATGCCGAAATCAACTGTGGGAACGTGTGGGAATAGCATTCTGTTGGCTCACACTATCTGCATCACACCACTACAGCAGTAAAATAGAATGGTGAAACCATACAGGAAGAAAAGTTAGATTGTGAGTATAGTCCATACAGTAGTCTTTGAGATTACTGGCTTCAATGCCCATTTGCATTGTGCGACATCAAAGAAGTTCACTAAACCTGCGAAAATCAGAATAATTTATCCATCTATCTTGTTCAATACAATTGGCCTTCTAGGAAGATAGTTGTGCACAACTGAAATCTGAGAGGAGAAGTGGTCACAGGTCTTACTATGTTTACCTGGTATATTCCCATGGTTTTTCATAATTCTCTCTAACTAGATAAATCCATAAACAAACGCGACCTTAAGATTATTTCTTCATCATTTGGATGGTATTTCAGAAGTGTAGTGATCTAGTTAAAGTAGACCAAACCTACGCGTTACCTATATTGACTGTCTGGTTTCAACATAGAACTCTACACCCATGTACAGCAGTTCGGGTCGCCACACTTCAATCAGCACACAAAGTCAGAGAAGAAAGTAAAATGAAACATAATATTGAGACAGTAAACAGTGATATGAGGCAAAAGGAATAGTAATAACGAAGAACAATAGTTTCATTTGAAATTCCAAGTCACGAGAAGTGGATATATCTGCGCCATACAGAGAGAACGATTTTGAGTCATCACCGATTGTCTCCAGCTATTGATATTTACCGTCCTGCGAACCCTAACCAGGAAGTCTACACCTTTCTACAAGTTTAAGGCTTAAACTAACCGTTGTGGATTTCATTCACTGATAAAGCCATGTTTTGGTTTGAACACCTGGCTCTTTTCTAGCCTGACCCTCTGTCAGCTAAGATTGCCCGTCGAGGAAGGCGACTGATGGCTAGGGATACGTAACACATGTCCTAACCATATCAATCTGTGTAACTTCACAGTCTCGTTGATTAATTTCCCCTCCCCCCTTACCTATCACTCGACCAATGCCTAGCCTCAATATTGCCCACCCTATTATACCACCACCCAACATGGAAGATAGAACACAGGCACCTCTGATCAAAGACAGCTAGCCTTTTCATGTCTTCCACTCTCAGTGGCCATGTCTTACTCACATCCATAAAAGAGGACGGGGCGGACTGCTGAGCAGTACACACGCCCTTTGGTTGATAGTCGAATATCACGTGCTAACTAGCTGTTTGACCTAGACTTAAGATTATTAGGCGGGACACTTAACCAGCATGACTATATTTCTAGTTATATCCGCCTGCAACCAACCAGTAAATGAGCTGAAAGTTCCTCGAACATTGAAAGCCCAATTTGGCCAAGATCGACTTAGACATGTCTTATTCTGCATCATCAAATAATCTTTCCTAAAATTTTAACCATCCAACTGAGTTTTTTCTAAACATAGGCAGAAGACTTGCTACTTGAATAACGGTGTTATGCTAATGATTTACATATCCATTAACACTTTCGGATGACAGCGGCATCTAACTTTAACCGCTTACAAATTCCTTTACACTGCGTCCCCTGACTACACTTAGAATGTTTTCTGTGATAGAAGCCTGTGAGATCATCTTTGGTAGAATCCTCTGGGTGTGTCTTATTTATAATTTACTGTTTTAAAGGCATGGCTTTGAAATAAATTTCTATTAGTTTCTAAGCAGTCATTATGTTGTCGTGTTTCAGACTTTCGCATACAACAACGATAGTCAGTTCGTAGGGGACTAAAAAGGAATACGTGGATTGAAACGAGCTTTAAATATTTCATCCCCACTGACCCATACCTTTATTTATATTGCTGCAGTACAAAAAATGTATCCGGGACAATTATGGTTTGAAGAAAAAAGGTATGGCTGATACATTGGACGGGTACATTTTCAAAACTTCATGATACTTTCTTCATCTACATACATCATTAGATAGGCCTAATCATAGCATTTACCTAAGTTAGTTAATCAGTGTCAACATATGTCTGACAAACAACTTATGTAGAGTCAGGTAAAGTAATCAGCTTGGTGTGCAACTAAGTCTGACATCAACCTCAGCTGAAGGCCAAACATTAACTTCAAATGTTATTTTAAGAAGGGGCTAATAGGTGGACAGGCTGATAATTCTTTCACAAAGTCTAACTTACTTACCAGAAAAAAAGTTTGACCTTTGGGATCTATTAAAAATTATTTATATATAGGGTGAATATGTTCAAAACAAAGATGTCGCTTTGGTTATCATTTTATGGCTTTGAACTTTACTCATAACATCATTAAGCAATTCTGTATGGTTGAGATGGCATTAAAGTTTGGCATTGAAAATCAGTTCCAGTAACCTGTGAGCGCTTTATTTCATGCAGGGATTTTCCATAAAGTCATTTCACCTTATGACAAACAGTACGTCTAAAATAGTAATTTAGCGAATTAGTCAAAGATAATTTGACAGTACTGTGTCCTTCCATCCACTACACGTAAATCTATCTACGAAGAATCTATAAAAAAGCATATTCCATATGTCTGACTGTCTCGTTAGATCTTAATCTTTGAAATACTTGAAGTTAACAACATAAAACATTATAATACTTTTTATGCTCAACTATACCCAGCTAGCATTTTTTCGGGCGCATTGCAGACTTTTTGGGGCAGATACTTCGTTTAGATCTACTAACGTGGGACAGTGTCCCCAAGTTTGCCCCAAAACGTCTGCAATTTGCCCTAAGTCTGTCCCTAAAAGTCAGTTATAACTGAACAAGAATGAATTAACTATTTGAATAGTACAAGGTAAAACATACCATTTAATGTATGAAAATTATGAAGTCATGAGGTTGTCAAATGAGTGGAAAAATCCAGCAGAATTAAATTAAAAAGACATCTTTCCTTATATATACAGGGATCATTTATAAAACTTTAGCAAATATCACAATCTCAATAATTAAAACTATCTCTTACATATAATTTCAATAAGCAATTTATCCTTCTATGCACACATACAAAGCATAATGTTAGCAGTCAACAAAATCCAGCAAAATACTAATCAGCCTTCGAAAATGATAACAGAAAACGTTTTTAAACTGACGCGCATTTTCTAAATGATCTTGAAATTGGTGTCAGCAAACATCGGTTACAATTGTAAATTGAGCATTATAGTAAATGCAACAAAGTGAAATTTCAGGACGGTCAGACTATTGCAGCAAGGCATCTTAATATCCTTGCTTTAATTTTCTTGAAAGGTCTGGAGAGAAACTGACAATATTCACATAGGAATAACTCCAAATTTCCTTGCATAAACCTTATAAATATCAAATTGTTCCAGTCAGGTGAATCATGCTCAAATTCATTTGGGTGTTTATAAGGCACCTCAAATAGTTTCTCCTAGTGGCCACTCAGGCGACTTTAAGGAAGAATGTGGCTGTCATGTTTAAGTGTTTGTCTGTAAAGTACGGTTAACTTAAAACATATTTTCAAACGTGATTAAGGCAGAAACGTTTATACTTCCCCTGAGTTACTCATCCGCTTTACAGTGAAAATAATAATTGGTCATTTCCATTAAA